ACTTGTAACCCGGTTGATAAGAAGATTAAGAAGTGAGAAATTTCACCGAAGTGACATTATCACCTACCAGTGTTGGTGAGTAACTAGTTACATGTAACAAATTAAGTTACAAAACAAATGTAACTGTAATCAGTTACAGTTACCGAGAAGAAATGTGCAATTAAATTACACTTACAAATCAAAATGCTGGTGATTACAAAGAGGTTACATCTAAATATATTCTTTTCAGTAAAAAGCTTATATGTATTTATAACATTCATTCTGCTGCTTTGCATCTGCTGGCTGTGCAGGGAAGCCTTCTTATGGCATATTTCCAGACAATGTGGGTCAGCAAAGCCGCTGGGACAAATTTGAGTCTAACACAATCAAGGATTGCAAGGAGCTGTCTCTACATTCAGATAGGCTCCATTCATTTGCAGTATGCTCTCAAAGTTTGAAGGCTGTTTTTGACCGGTTCTCTCGTCTAACTTTGCACCACCTCTCGGCTGCCAATCAAATCAATGTGCATTGCTAAAGCAACCTGAGTCTGCCGTGCCTGGCTGTGACCAGCCAACAACACCAAAGTGGGTGGTCGTGTCGTTAAACAAGAACCACTTCAGTGCTGGAAATTCAACAGTATTTTCCTTTTGAAATCAGAGAAGGGCTCTACCATTACTGTGCAATGTAAAATTTGTTTACTGGGGTGAAAATGCTGTCAATATCAAAGTGCACCATGTTGACAGCTTGAGGATACATCTGCAAGTAAGTTAATGTTACCACAATCACTCAACCGGAATAAAGAGCCTCCCACCCCACCATGTTGTTTATGTCAGTTCAAGATGTAATTTAGCTTCATATTTTGCTCGGTGCACGTCAAGTAGGCTAGATATTTAGATATTTTTAATGACTTTTCAACTTTATTGCCCAGTCTAAAACATCTATTAGAAAAGTAATCCAAAACCAATTAAAAATTATGTGCTTTATAAAATGAGTGATGTCGAGTGCTGGCATTTCCTTTTATTTACTTTCAGCACTCATTATTCTATTTAATGTCTCATTTGTGACACATTTGCCATTTGAACTGTATTGTTTCCTGAGAAATAGCAGATGTGTGTTTCTGCGCTTACAGCCAGATCAAGGTCAAGATGAATATGTGATGGAACACATTTGCAGAAACTTCCATTCTAGTATCCACAGCAGTTGTTTTTCTATTTTTATACCAGTATACTGTCAAACATGGTAGATTGGAAAAACGGGATGGAATTGGAGAGGAAAGTGGGAAGAAGGAGGGTGTGTGTGTTTGTGTGTGAACTCCGCAGCAGCTGTGAAGGTCATTTTCTCCAGCGGGATTTCAGTTGGTCATTTTGTATGCACTTGGGTGTGTGTGTGTGTGTGTGTGTGTGTGTGTGTGTGTGTGTAAAGGCTAGACCTATTAAAGGGGACTGCCACCTTGTATTCTTGTTTACTATAAGGCACTGTACATTCCAAATTTGAACATGTCATTTATGTCTCTGTGTATCTATGTTTGTCCTGTAATGAGCTGCAAAGAGAGGTGTCATTGGTAGACTGGCATCTGTTTGTTTAGGGGACACTTGAGAAGCTGTGAAGTGACGGGAAAGGCTGCTTGGCACCACTGAGACTCACACAAGTGAGTGTGAGTGCAGTAAAGAGACACAGAGTTTGTGACTGTACATAGAAGCATTTGCACCTGGAAAACAACAAATGTTCAATCCAGTCTGATTTTCACTGACTAATTCAACACTGTAGCACAGCACAAAAGAAAAAGAAGTTTTGCTTTCCAGCAACAAAATTAAATATGTTCTAAGTGTATTTTATAAGCTTGCTGCAGTGTTTTAGACTCTATGTGAAAATTAGACTACTTTTAAACCAACAACATCCTAAACAAAGAATTGTAGCACTGTAAAGAAGGATTTGAAATAGTATTTGCCTTCTAAAAATATAAAATCTTAAAACATGTAATATATCGTTTAAAAGTAAAAATGAAAACTGTAGGTTTCATCAATGATTTTTATTTGGAAATGTCTGCATGCACACCAAATTTCATTTTAATCACTTCCACCCACTGGTACAGTTTGTTAAATCGCACCATATCTGCTCTGAATGTTTATTCAAGCTTACTGGTACATCTTAGCGTGTCACACAGAAACAAAGTCGCACCTGTGGGTGTGTGTTTTTGTGTGTGAAGGAGAAAGTGAGGGGGGAGCTAAAAGAGAGTGAGTTGTGTTTGTGTGTCTGAAAGTGAATAGATGCAGGTGTCTCATGTGCTCGCTTGATGACGCACAATGAGACCCAAGTGAAATGATCGAGTCCACAGGTGTGTGTGTGTACATGTAGATGTTTTTAACAGCCTCTCTTGTTTGATAGTCCAACTGAGGTGTCATCTGGTTTGAAAACCCTCAGGTGGTTTTGTGTGAAATAGCCAAAATAACAGATTCTGTGAATCAAAAATCAAAGCTATAATTTTTGGAAGCAAATTCCAGAAAGTGCAGCAACCAGAGCTCTACCAAGTCTTTTTTTCAGGTGGGTATCTAGGGTATACAGCCTTGGGGTCCTTTGGGCAGATCCTCTGACAGCAGTCTGGTTGCTATAGTACTGACCAGACAGAAAGAGAAATGGGACCTCCACTGTAATAGCTGTGTTTGTTTGCTTAATCTATTCCCTAGCTGCTTTTGGATAATTATTGAAGCATCTCATCTACTAGAACAGATGTCTTTGTCCCTTGACTTTAATGATGCAGTTATCAAATTATCATCTGTTCCAGGAATCAGAAACACCCCATTTCAGCTATCAAACAACATTCACCCCTTACTGTCACTGCTCTCACCCAGACAAACTGTGGCAGATGTGCACCGTGGTCTACTCTCCACTTTTATGTTGCTTGTATTGTTTTATGTCTTTGTCCTTTTCTGTAAATAGAGTTTTATCCTCACTGCTATATGAAAATCTCATAAACCACATGGATGTTTCTACCCTGAACTGCTGTTTATGTTTTATTTTGCCCAGGTAATCATAAAAAAAACTGGTCAAACACAAACTTGCTAGAAATCTGACAAAATCAGTGGGGGAAAGCCTGATGGTAAAGCTGTTTAATGTGACAGATGAAAACAACAAATCAGAGCTTCATTAGACTTCCAGCAGTGCACAGTGGTGGTACAGTTGCTGCTCATCCTTTCTTGAGTGAAAATACAGTGTGTGTGTGTGTGTGTGTGTGTGTGTGTGCTACAGGAAACATGGTGGGCATGATAATTAAAATGTTTGAAAGGCTTCTGAGTTTACAATTTCTTACATGCAATACATTAAATCAATCTGATCATCTAGTTCTTGGCAAGAAGTGAATAAGTGTATTTTCCAAGATGTTGAATTATTTCTTTGATGAAAAAGTAACCAGGCCAGAAACAAAAGAAGGAACAAAGTAAATAAACAGCCACATGGGTAAATGTTTAATGAGCTTTCTACGAGGAAGAAATGGATGAAGATACTATTTTGAAAACATTAAATCATTCTGCTTAATGCTACTAGACTTAATGCAACCAGTCAGACAATGATCTTTCATTCATTTGTTCAGACATTCATCCATTCATTCATTCAGTCAGTTGGTTAGCTAACACAGAGGAGGAAGGTGGCCAAAGATGGAAACACTTTAGATTAGTACAGTCCAGGAGATTTACTGCTTTATATTGTAACTGTTTTCTTATTGTAAGGCAACAGAAGAGAGAGCTGACTCAGCCTGGGGCCCAGGAGACTATGTCTGTTAGATGAACAAGAAAAATGCAGGCAGTTTATTAGTGGAAAGAACAAAAATAGGGGTATGTTGAAGAAAAAGTATGAATGTGAAAGCATGTTATGTATGTCTGTGTGTGTTTGTGGACGTGCTGTATGTAAAATTTGTTTAAAATTATGTTTTTTTTTTCACATGGTTTTACTGAATTTCCTTTCATTTTGCAAGGTTATGCTTCAGTTCCAGTGTTCTTGGCAAAAGCACAGCAGGACACAGCCTGATAAGCCTGTTTGAATTGAGATTTCACACCGAGGGGCAGCGTCCGTGTCTTTGTGTGTATGTGTGTGAGAAGGTGTGGGTGTGTGTGTGTGCATGCATGTACCTAGAAATCAAATCATAAAATCAAGCATAGTTAAAGCAAGGTCAGAGAGCTTAATATGAAATTATTAACAAGGTAGAAACAAGGACAGAGAGAGATGGGAGGTATACAATACCGTAGAGGGGAGGGGGAGGAGGAGGAGGTCCTTGCACAAACTCCAGCCTATCAGACAGAGGAGGGCGGGTCTCACAAGACAAGAAGGAGGGAGCAGAGCAGCTGCAGATGCAGAAGGAAAAGAAGCAGAGCATGCTAGAGGAGGAGAGAGAGGTGGGAAGGTAGAGGTAGGTAGACACAGAGAGATGCAGTGCTACAGAGAGCGTGTCCGCAAGGCTGTCTGCTGCACACCTCTTCATCCTCTCGTCGGGGACAGTAATGTGTTATGGAGCTACAATGCACAGATTCACTGCAGGAACATGGAATGCAGATAGAAGTTCACCTTGAGGTGGAGTTCACCAATACCACTGTGGACATTTTGGGATTGCAACAAACACTCGCTGACTGTTTAAGCCAGAACAACAGAGATTTAATGAGGCCTGACAACCTACCAAAGAAAAAGTGGCTCAAGAATCTCTAACTTGCAGATTAGACTTGTACCAGAACATCTGACAGTTAGGCTCTAAACTATCGAATTGTGGCCAGAAATCAAACAGGATTTTGGTTTGTCAGATGCTTGCAGCTGTCACCAAACCTGACAGCACACAGATCCAACACTGTGGCATCCACAACTCACGCTGGAACCACGCAAAGCCTCTAGCAAGCAGGTGCTGCAGCCCAGGAGCCCTGGAGCCAGCCTGACCTTGGACCGGTTGTCACCTGAACCCCTCCTGGCACAAGCAGAAACGTCCAGTATGTCTCAGACCGGAGGACGGCTCCACAACAAAAAGGCTGGCATTCGTGCTGCGGTCATTTTGATCGGACTCCTGCACAAATCTCGCAAGGCCAAGGAGAAGGAGAAGGAGAGGGAGAAAGAGGAGAGCGAAGGGTGGGTAAAGTTTGAACCATCTTGCTGTTTGATGAGGCAGGGATGCTGGGTAGATAATGTTTGACCTAAAGACAAGCAGATGGTCTGCAGTACAATGGGGATTGTAAAGAAAACTTTATTAAAATGTGTTTGTTTTTCCAGAGGCATGGGGCGCATTGAGCTCTTTATGGTTCAAAGAGTTTGCATCTGCAGTTTTATTATAGACCCTTTTTATTAGAGTGTGCTTATCTTTGTGAGCGTGTGTGTCTTGTTGACCACACTTGTGTGTGCATCTGGGTCAGTGGAAATGACAGACAAGAAAGTGAGAGAAAGGTATTGAGGAGGTCAGTTGAGTTGTGCTCTGAGTGCTTTTGAAAAGCAAACAAGAGGGAATCTCAGTAGAGATTGGAGGATATGAGCTGTGAAGTACGGAGAAAGGAACAAGGATAAAAGAAAGTAAGAAATGAAGGGTTAAAGGAGAGAGCTGTGGAGAATAAGAAGGAAATGCTCCATAGCGAAGGCTGTCCACTCTTTTTTTTACTCATGTTTTTCTGATATGCTGATGTAACTGTAGTATTTTTTAGCATAAGGGCTGTATGCGCACATGTTCATACACCATTGGATGAACTGACTAAGTGTACAATAGGTAAGCAGGATACAGCACTGAAAAGATTAGACCCCCATGCTTTACTGCCCAGGAACTTCAACCAAACAGTAGCTGTAAATGCGGTATTAAAGCTACCAAGAAAGCAACAAAGCTCATGTTTATATTTGCAGGTAATCTCTTGAGGACTGTATTTCTGAATGCCTTTCCGAAAACTACTTCTTCAGAATCTACCACTTCAAATACAAGGGGGTTTTCCCTGCATGCTGTGTTGTAGCCAGATCATACTGCTAATACTACAGTACTGTAGATGAGTACAGTCAATAATAAGACCCATGGGAATGTCTCACCTGGTAACAAAACCTGATTACAAACAGTGTGTGAGGTTGGAAAGGTTGAGACTGCTAAACCTCCCCTTCCCCTCACTAAGCCTTCCATGAATAGGCCTGTTTTGGCCAAGCTAACATTAGCAGCATGTACAGTTAAACTGGAATCTGATCTTATTGTGGTGAGTAGTAGTGCTATACTGTATCAGTGCAGTCTGATGCACTTTGCTACTCTGTTCTAATAGCATGGACTAAAATAGATTGTATCAAAATAGACTGTAACTCACTTTGCAAATGCTGATAAGTTTATCTGACCTTGTGCATGTGTGTGCGTGCCTGGTATTACTCATATTGTGGGACTCAAACCTGTTTTCACAGTCAGACTTAACCTTCCTTGTGTGAAACAGATGTACATTCTTGAATTTTAGGGTGACAACTTGGTTTAGGGTTATGGTGATGTTAGAGTTAGGTTAAGGTAAGTCTCCAGGAAAGGAATGTAAGTTGATGTAACGTCCCTGCAGGGAGTGAAAACAAACGTGTTGTGTGTATAATTTACCTTCGGTTAGTGTAAAATTAACCCCCAGAGGAGAGGCTGGATTAGCAACTCTATATATCAGGCACATGCCTCAGATCTCCCGGGGCTCCTAAAAGCTGTAGGTTAATTGCGTGACAGTTGGTTTATGGTGATTACTAATTATAGTATAGTTTAGGTATATGCAGAATAAAACAACTGAAATAATAAAGACCTGTAATCTAATCGTAAAGTCTTGTTGTATAAGGAACCAAACCTGTATTATTTTATCTTATATTACATTGATATTGTGTGTATTCCCAATTACATGGGTCTTTAATTACCAGCAGCCAGGTGGTTTTTCAATGTACAGTAAGTGGTTGGTTTCAGAAAAATGTTCACTTGATTCTAAACAGGGTGCAGACACAGTGAGTATCTGCCAGGTCACACGCAGATACAAATATTCCCTGAATCCACCCAATTTGTTTAAAAACAGGATCACTATTTGCATGTTTTTGACATGCTTGCCATGTGATTTGTGATTTCATGTCTCATGTCAAATAACAAGAAAAGTACAATCATGCATTGGCAGCTGAAATAGCCCAAAGCACTGCTACAGCAGTGGCCTACTGCTGTCATTTCTGCTGTTGCTGTGGCTCATGATGTTACAGGCACACAATTTCAGATAACTTTAAGCTGTCTCTTTACAAGTTGTGGTGGTGAAGTGCATGATTGCACTTTTTTGGACTTTTACCACTACTATTTTTCTCAGCCAGTGTCAGAATATTTCACATCCTTAAAACATGCTTTTTCTGGCACTGAATACAAGGAAAGGTGAATCACAGGCTGATTGTTATTATTAGAGCTGGACATTTCTAACTATATAATAATAGGGAACACTGCACAGGCTGCTTGAAGAAAGTGTTTAATTGGGTTTGACTTTGCAGCAGAGAAGCTAAAAATGTGGTTTCACTTTTTGCCCACAGTTTTCTGACTTTCCACCAGGGAACACTCACAAGAGCACATACTTATACTGTAGGAATGCTCTTTTGCCCTTTTAAATCATAAATTATCATTATGAGTTCTGCTGCTTGTATCTGAATGTTTATATGAACCTATATGTATTAACATTCTCCACAGCTCATTTATCTCTGCAGCTGCAGGCCTCCCTTGTTTTTGTGTAAGATGTTTGTATCATTATATATGTGTGTGTCTGTGTGTGTGTAGGTATGCATGCACGAGCTGTTTGGGCAGTGCGATTAAAGTTACATTTCTCTGTTGGTTTGCGGTAGTGTGGTGCAGTAAGTGGGTATGAGAGAAGCTGTGTGTGTGCGTGTTTAAATAGAGGCAGGCAACAGTAAGACTCATTATGTAAGTGTAAGACCTAATCTGTAATTACAACATGTGGCTTCTTGTTCACACATTGTGTTGTCTCCCTGAAAAATTAAAAGCATTTTGAAAGATTGTTAATTATATGTGCCATCTAAATCGATGACATGTCATGTTACATGCATTTTAGATATATAGCCCTTTTCAGACATGGGATATGTACAGTAACATTGCCAATGGCTTTCTGTCACTTTTACATCAATGTTCCTCATAGCTTCATTCAGACATAGACACAACTGTGAGGAACACAGCCAGTGAACGTGCACAGTATTTACCAAACATGCATAATCGTCTTAATCTTGTGTGTGCCTATCCATGAATGCAACTGCAGCCACTGTTGTGTTGAAAGTGATCTGCACAATAAATGTTACTAGGTGTGACCTAGAAAGAAAAAAGGGACCAAGGTGCTCATTTCAGACATGAAGCCATCACACTGAGATGTCGTCAGATTAATGGAAAGGAGTGCATGTCTGAAAGTGGCCTATGAGACATAATATAAATTCAGTATAATGTGACAAAACTTTATTTGGTTTTATAAAATGCAGTATCCAATCTAATTAGCTGTTTTTGAAATTATTTTTTATGACCATACTGGCTCAGTGGTATAGTACGTTCTGTTGATTAGGGGGAGTTGGACAGAAATGACGCAGGAAAATGACCCTTGAGGTCATTTTCTTGAAGGCTTGAAGCTCACAGAAAGTGTCTCATTATATAAAACTTATTTGGTGACAAGCAAGAGGACTAAAATGTCCAGCTGTAGAAATGAACTGCTAACCTCATCTGTACATTATGCTTCAAAATAAGAGCCCAATCAGTTCCATTTGCTAATAAGCTTTACAGGAAAAGGTTCTTGCCTGTGCACTAACAGCTTATGAATATAAATTGGTGCTATGGTAGTTTAAATTTTGGTTTTGTTCTTGTAGGATTTCCTCGTGCTTTAACAGTATAAAAGTTATGATGGGTTGTGAAAGTCCTAAAAAATACATTTTTATCTGCTTTTTCAACGTTTGCATTTGTGACTTATGAAACTAAATCTTTCTGTATTTTAATTAGGGGTTAGCCTGACCCATCACAGATTGATCCTTTTATGCTTCCTAATCAGCCTTTCATCTAGTTGTCAGGGTCGTTTAGGTTTTATTTTTCAGCTATAAAAAGCTCAAGGCAGCCATTTAAGAAGGGAATACCTGTGGACACCAACCTTTCTGATACTACTTTAGGTTTCATGGACAATTCACTACAACATCAAAAACTAAGGACACAGAGTAAGTTGGAGTTAGACAAGAGGGCCGGCGCCACTGTCGTATGTGGCGACTGTGTTTCAGTGGTAGAGCCGTCGCCTCATTCAAGGTTTGAATCTCGGTTGTGTAGTCCACATTTCAAAGGGTCCTTGGGCAAGATGCTGAACTCCCAAATTGGTCCTGATGGTTAGAGCCATCAGTGTGAGTTGGCGCCACAGATGGCTGCCTCGGTTCTGTGCCGGAAACAAATTCCTTGTGTGTGTAACATATTTGGCCAAATAAAGGTGATTATCTTTACACACATACGTGGCAAGTACAAATGAGACAACAACCAATTGCTTAACACATAGTTGAAACAGGGAAACAGCTAAGCTGGCTTGTTTATTTGTTTTTGCTTGTTTTTTGGATATATTAAACAAACAAAATGTAATGTGTCAGTTTGTGATCTTAGATGCTGTGGGCAGAATTGTTGTTTTTGGACAGAGGCAGGTTCACCTTTTCTCTGTTTCTAGGATTTAAGCAAGGCTAAACTCAGGGTCTTCTGGCTCCAACTTAATATTGAATACACAGGCGTGAGAGTGATATTAATGTTCTCATCTACACTACCAGCCAAAGGTTTGGACACACTTAATGGGAAAGTGTGTCCAAACTTGAGTTTTTGGAGTAACTTTCTGCAAGAAAATGGTTCTTCCCGAAGTGTTGAACTATTCCTTTAACCAACAGGTCTTAGCAACTGGAAACAGTCTCCCTTTAAATCTCACCCCTTCTCATCCCTCAAGGTCTTTCTCACCTTCTATATTTTATTTATAAGAACAACGGTCAAAGTAATGATGAGAACAGACACATAATAAAATGTGCTGATGATTCGGTTATTAGTCAGCCCACACGGATGTGATGGAAGAAGATCACTGGCCTGTAGAGGATGACTTTGTGTCACAGCATGACAAGTCCTT